TGAAGGGTGTGTCCGAGAAATTTATTTCAAATTTATTACAATCCCTCTACAATAATAGCCGAAGCCGAGTCCGAGCTTACGGTACTTTTTCGCCTGAGTTCACCACGGAAAGAGGTGTTCGACAGGCTTTTCTTTTCTATTCAACTTTGTTAGAGATTTAATTCTTGAAACAGCCCTATCTTCGTGCGACGATAGCGGCATCAATTTACTGCCAGCTGGCAGGCTATCTGATCTAGAGTATGCAGACGACATCGTGCTACTAAGTGAAAATGCAGGTAAGTTGCAAGCTTTTCTGGATAGTTTGAGTGCTAGTGTAGCGATGTTCGACATTCGCTTTGCACCTCCAAGGTGTAAAATGCTGCTCCAAGGTTGGGTTGGCCCAGTCTCCAGCCTCACCCTAAATGGGAAGTGTAGAGAAAGTAGATACGTTTTGCTACCTAGGAAGCTGTATCTCACCTGGCTTACGCATCACAGATGAAGTGTCGGCGCGCGTACAGAAAGCTCGGTTGGCATTTGCCAACTTCAGACACCTGTGGCTCCGTCGCGACATCCGGCTGTCTGGGAAGGGTAGAGTATATGCTGCAGCAGTATGGCCAGTTCTGCTTTACTTCACAGGGACTTGGCTATTACGGGAACAGGATAAAAATAAGTTTGTCGGCGTTCGAACACCGCTGTCTACGTAGCATTGCATGAGTCTGGTGGGGAAACCGGAAGAGCAATGCTGAGGTTAAATCAGCTCTCAACATTCTAATCATCATTCTGCTATTTTATCCAAATGTGCAAGCAAAACCGGCGCACGAAAGTGCATGGTTAATGGCTGTAAGAACTGAGCTGAACACGTGTCATTGGCACCACGTTTGTTCTCAAACCAGTGTATATATATATAAATATATCGATTGATTGATTGGTTGGTTGGTTGGTTGATTGATTGATTGATTGATTGATTGATTGATTGATTGATTGATTGATTGATTGATTGATTGATCGATTGATCGATCGATTTTCACGTTTCATTACTCGATCCGTGTGGTCATATCAAATCATCATCATCGTACAGCGAGATACAGTGAAGCGAACTTCACTGATCGCTGCCAAGGTCATATCAAAGTGGCTCTTTGCACCGCCAAATGAGATTAGTTACCTGAGAACCACGCGACAGCACATGATAGAATTCGATTCCAAACACGCGAGCGAATTCGCCGGTGCGGCCTATTAGATCAACCGTTGTGATCAATCGCAGGTTGACCACGGTCCGGTACACATAGTAGTTCACTGTACGCCAACTGACATGCCAACAGGGAGAGAGAGTGAGAGATGGGCGTAGGGAGGGCGGGAGAGAGACGAACTGGGATTCGATTGCGCATATGCATTCACAATAAGCTAATTTCAACAGGAGTGGACCATTAAGTATGTCGAACTGTCTGATCAAAGCCGAACAGTGCCTTAGAATTATTGTAAACATGTTTTGAATGATACGGGGATGCCCTATGCACGGGATATTTTCAGTATTAGTAGCAAGCGAATGTCTACAACAAAACCCGTTTTCGATTAGAGCAGATGTTCAAACTGGCTTGAACAATGCAGCTCCTACATCCCAACCTTTGTTTAACTCTTTGTCTTCCGTACCCAACCCTCTCCCTCTACCCTTTCTTCCAAGCCGTAACATTCCTCAGACAACTTGTTTGTCACTCGTCAAAGATCGTTGCCAAGTAGCTCGGTAAGTAGTTTACCACAAAATAGATTGCATATTCTGAAGCCTCGTCAGCCACTGAATCTGGGGGCCTTCAACTTGAGGACTCTGATGCAGGTAGGTCAACAAGCATATCTGGCGCGTACCATGGACTCTTTGGGAGTGGATGTCTGCTGCGAGTCGGAGACTCTAATTCAGGATACTAGTAATATATGCCACTTAAGTGCACCGGGATTGTCTTCGAGGTTCTTCCTCCGTGCATCAGGTGATGACGAAGCCCGTTCAGTAGACCAGCTTGGTGTGGGCATTGTCCTGAATAATACAGTCGAAGTCGCACTACTCGATTGAATCCCCATCAACAGCCGCTTACTTGCGATGCAGCTCCAAGGGTCTGCAAGTCCCATTGCACCACCTGCGTTGAATCTGATCATGCGTTCGGTTTGATGCGGTTCATTCTCCAACTCACTGGTCGCAGAAAATTTCATCAAACTCGATTGGCAGATCATCGCTTATCTGACCCAGCCCTTCGTTCCCGTTTTGAATCAGAACTAGGGCAAGAGCTAAATGCTCGGCGGGATGGTGGTGTAGATGAACAATGGGATCAGATTAGACGAGCAATGCACTCCGCTGCGAGAGTTGCTTGTGCGCCCGCCCGAGGCATCGGATATCTGATGATTCAGTAGCACTGATGGAGAAAAAGCGGCAAATCCCCACCGCCCGGGATCAAGGCAGGGTTAGGTGGCGTCTACAACGTCATCTCACGAGGAGCCTCAAGAAAGACTATGAGAACTGGTGGGCAACGATAGCTAGTGAAATGGAAGTAGCGGCTGCATCATGGAAAAGTCAGAGACTGTTGCAACTGATACGCCGTACGGGAGATCAGCGAATCACAGTTAGTGAAACAATCTGCGACAAAAATGGGCAAGCTATTCACAATAGGGAACAACGGCTTGAC